AATAGAATAGAATAGAATAGAATAGAATAGAATAGAATAGAATAGAAGAGTTGGAGTAGAGTAGAATAGAGTAGAGTAGAATAGAATAATAGAATTGGAGTAGAGTAGAGTAGAGTAGAGTAGAAGAGAGAAGAGAAGAGAAGAGAAGAGAGGAGAAGAGAAGAGAAGAGAAGAGAAGAGAAGAGAAGAGAAGAGAAGAGAAGAGAAGAGAAGAGAAGAGTTGGAAAGGACATTGGAGGTCTTCTAGTCCAACCCCTTGCTTAGACCAGAACCCTATACCATTTCAGACAAATGGCTGTCCAATGTCTTCCTAAAAACTTCCAGAGTTGGAGCATAAACTATTACCATATTCATAATGCCAAGAACACCAAAACAAATCAAGGTTTGGAACTTGGAACTCACCAAGTTTTGCATGCTGTACAAATACTTTGCTAAGCCTGTTCTGCAAACACAGACGTTCGGTTGCAAAATGGCAAAGGAGTGTGATGTATATCCTGTCTTCCATTATACTATAATCTTTCTAGCACTTTGTAGCCTCTTTGGCTTCCTGCACAGGCATTAAATGCCAAAGAGGAGAAAGGAAGAAGCTTCCAGTGGGATTTTTTTTTTTTTCAGTCTTGGAAAATGCAGGCAACCAAGGAACATTCAGTCTCATGGGAAAATGTGATAGAAAGCAGTGCTGCTAGCAGAAACCCCCTTCATCACGTCCAATAAGAAAGCAGGCTTCAAAAACATCACCAAAATAAATTTGGAAGAACTTCTCAAGGATCCATCAAAATAGCTTTCCTAGATTGCTCCATTGCCACAAAGATCTTTCCATGAAGCCTTGATTGCACGTTGATTGGTAAGCATCCTTTTGCTTCAGCTCCACTACTTAAAAGAATCCTGTGAAACTCAAACATTTGCTCTTCTTCCATCTCATCGCAGTTGTCAAATAATAACCCAAGTATAATATCATAAGAGCAGCTACCTTCGGAATACCTGGATGATTATTCACAGGTCAATGCCATTCAATTGCAGTGGAGCAACTTGATTATACATCCCATATCAACGCTGGCACTGACATGGAGATTTAATTCTCTGGAACGGTGTGATATTACATCTGCTGTGTGCCCTTAATTGCATTTTTTTTTAATTCTCCCTCACTGCCAACTGCTACAGTCTGTTGAGTTCACTATTGGCTCCAAGCACTTCTGCAGAGGTTCAGAAGTTGCCTTGGTACTGGTAATCTTAAAGAGGCCAAGTGCTGGGCTTGGCGTATAAAATTCTTGAATAGGATGCAATCTGAAAAGGGAAAACACAAAGCAAAATGCAGCCAGAAGATCAGAAAGAGAAGAAAGGGCAAGGACTGTTGGAAGACATTTGGTGGGGTGGGGTGGGGTGGGGTTGGGTTGGGTTGGGTTGAATGGATGGATATCAACAAAGCAAACATTAGGGAGATAGTCTCCATATTTCTCACAGAACTCAAGGATGGAGACCAAAAAGAGTTGAATGGTATTCATCTTAACCAACTGTCCATCTTACTTTATGCTGTCTGGGAAAATTAGCCACCAAGAGGTTGCCTATTCCACTACCATCCCCCATCAAGTAAGAAACCATCATCACAATACTGCAGTTGCAGAGACTGAAGTCAACAGGCAGAAAGATTGATCTTAAGCATCTAGTAAGCAGAAATAAATGAATGTACAAGCAGCTGTCAGATATCCAAACTGTAGCATGAAGCCAGGCTAGAAATAAGCCCCATCAACTCTCTTTTTCTTCCCTGGTACTTACTTCAACCCAATGGAGAATGTCCAAGACTGCCTCTATTTAAATTGTTAGGCCAAAACCAAAACAGACTACATTTATTGCGTGCTGGGTAGGAATGAATAAATCTGGTAATTGATCTGCTCATTCAGTCATCGGTGATCATTATTCCACCATGGTAGCTTTCTGAGTACCAGTTTGGTGTAGTATTTAAGCAGCTAGGCTAGACACCAGAAGAATGACAGTTCTCATCGCACCTTAAGCACCAAGCCAAGGGGTGACTTTGGATCAGTCACTCTCTCTTGGTTGTCTCTAGGAAGGAGGCAATGGAAAATCATTTCTGAAATCTTTGCCCAGAAAACTGCAGGGGCTTATCCAAGCAGTCACCCGAAGTCAAAAACTGACTCAAAGAAACACATACTAAAAAATACAAATGGTGAATTCTCGGCACCCGTTCAACAGTCTTGTTCCCACATCACATTAATCCAATACCAGGTTGCTTCAAACAAAGTAACAGATTGTGTTTGCCCAACACACACACGTATCTTAAAGTTTATTAAAAACATAGTTCTGCATCACACGTATCTGAGTTACTAACAGTTACCAAAAGGATCCCTTTTCCACATTCACTCAATACACAGGAGGATAAATTAACAAATGGATTTGTGCAAAACTCTACCCCAAAGTAAATATTCAAGATAAAGCTAAGCTTGTCTTGGCAATTTGTGCAACTACAGCTTCCAAATCTCTTGTGTGGACCCAGCCATAGTCTGTCTGTCTCTCTCTCTCTCTCTCTCTCTCTCCCCTCTCTCTCTCTCTCTCTCTCTCTGTATATATTCATCAATATCACCCGCTTCTTAGCTTTGTTATTCTATATAAAGTAAGAAATGTGACAATGCCATTATAAAAAAATTACTTGATATTTACTTAATGTCAAGTAATAATTCAAAGAGAAGCAAACCCGTGTTAATCAAAAAATATCCAACAGGACTGGGCACATACTGTAGCCGAATGAGTATTTCAACTCCCAGAAGTGAGGAAAAAAAGAGCTTGTCTTCTGAGAAAAAAAAGCTTTGATATATCACAGCATGTTTCTCCAACAACCATCTCAACCCCAAGATGATGGGGAAAACAAGGTACTTCCACTTCAAAAATTTAAAAGGGTGGATGGAGGAAGAGTATCCTTGGATTAGTAGCTTCATTTCAAGGACACATGTAGTGGTGTCAGTCATACAATCCATTCTACATCTCCTCAAGCACCTAGCAGCCAAATCTCAATGTCCTTATTGAAAGTTCAAAATCTCTATGGCTCTTTATACCAGATCATAAAATTAATCCAGGAATTTCTATACTGTTGACTCTGATAGGTAGCTAATCCCAAAAGTTCAAAGAGAAAAGAACATCTCCCCATCATTTGTTACCTCCAGCTTGAAGAACTAAGAGTACTCATCAGTACAGTCAATAAGGGGTGCTTCAAATCATGGCTTATCAAAAGCTACAACAGTCCCTGATCTTGAAGATGCAGAACCTCCTGCATGCAAGATGACTGTCTCACCACATGACCAGAGCTGTGTCCCTAAGCTTCCTCCATTTCCAAGTCCCAAAGGTGCTTTTTTTTCAAGAAGCAACTGGACTTACCTGTTTTTTTTTGAAGACGTTTTGCTTCTCATCCAAGAAACTTCCTCAGTACTGATAACGAGCTCTTGGATGAGAAGTGAAACGTCTTCAAAGAAAAACATGAAAGTCCAGTTGCTTCTTGAAAAAGCTCCTTGGGGACAACCATGACCTGGATGACTGAGAATCTCCATAGACCTCCATTTCAAAGCTTTCCACCTCTCTTAACAACAAGGCACAGAGAAGGCTTCTCCTCATTTTGTAGGAAGGTGTAGCATCATCATCATCTACCAAGCAATTCTGTAATCTGAGTAGAAGACAATCACTGTCACTGTGAAAGACTTTGAGAAGTCTGGGAAAGGAATGGAAGGAAGAGGAACCATCAAGAGACCTTAGGCCAATCCTGGGCATCTCATCTCACAAATTGCAACATGACCCAGTGTACAGAGAAACCTGAGAAGAAGCATTTCAGATCATTTAAATCAGTGTTTTCTGCTGGTTGGGGAAATTCTGGGAGTTTGAAATCCATACATCTTAAAGTGGCCAAGTTTGAAAAAGCACCAGTTTAAAGAGATTCCACTTTAATGGACTTAAGTGAGAGTTGGAAGTTGCTTCTGCTCTTTCAAAGGTTTTGTATTTACTCCAAGACTGGCTTGAAGATACCCTGCTGGGGTCTCTTGTTAATTCTTACTTGCCTGATTTTGCCTAGCAGATTTAACACATTTTCCACGTTGGGTGGAAGAAAAACCGCTGAGAAAGCCACAACAATGCAAAGACTACAATGGTCCTCCACATAACAAACTCAAGTCAAATCAAATCCATGCATTTAACAAGAAGTCCAAACAAGAAGTCCAAACTGTAGCGAATGTAAACAAGCTCAGTGTTAACTCGGCTCAAGACTCATTAAACCTGTTTCCCAGAGTGGCCAATCAGAAAAGCCTGTAGAGACAGCCAATACACACCAATTTTCTGCACTCAAAAACTTGCATGGATTCAGGAGGAACCTGGACATAATCCTCCTGCATTGTTATCATAGCTGACAGCTACTTCTCTTCGGTGGGCCTGTCACGCCCAACTTGGCATACTCCAAATACTCTGGACCCTACCGTTCTCATCATGAAGATGATGCGAATGGGAGTTCAGGTCATCTGGAGAACCTCACCATTGGGGAAAGCTGGTCCAAGATGGCAGCCACCCAAGATGGCAGCCAAACATCCAACTCAGAAACGCTTGGTTTCTATTTAGCACCCCACCCATCCCCGAGCTACCAGTTGCACCCAAAGCTCGTTCATTGTCGCAATTTGGGGAACTTTCTGGAAAAACCCTCTTCCATCCAAGAGAAGTGCTCACCTCTGGGAGAGGCATCCCATTGATAATGAGATCCGGCTGTTGAGGTCCCTGACCCGTGAAGGTGTGGTGGTAGTTGTGGTTGGAGCCGGCGTTCCGGTTGTTTTGGTTCTCCACGTTGAGAAAGGTGCTTTCTGATCGGCGGCAACCCAGAGGCAGAGTTTGTTGGTGATAGTCGAAGTAGTTGAGGGATGAAGTCAAGGAGGAACAGCTGACAACGTTCATTTTATCAGTCTCCTCTACATCCCGGGGCACGAGGCGGATGTCGTTCTTGCTGATTTTTTTCTTCTTGGAGGATTTCTTTTGGTGCCCGTAGGAGTACTCTGCAATTCTGCAGGACAGAAGGAAAGCAAAGTGAGAACCTTACGTCATCCTCAAACCGCACCCTAGTCAAGAGGGCATTCTCAGAGAGAGGGAGGCCTGATTTTTCCCATCCATATGCAGAAGCTGATTGACGGCTCGGCTCTTTTTGACAGCGAAGTTGTCTTGCGTGTTATCTCTCATAAGCAGAACAAGGTTTGTGGATCCGACACACACACACACAAGAACAACAAGTGTGGAATAAAGGAGAGGGAAGAAAATATTCCCCGTGTTTTGGTTTTGGTTGGGTTTTTGTGTTAGTTTTTTTTTTTTTTTTCTGCTGCTGAGAACAGTCGGTATATCTAGTTACCCGAGATATAGTTCAGCCTGCAGAAAATGGGGGAAGAAAAAAATAATAATAATGTGAAAATCCATGAACTGGAAAAAAAAAAGAGAGTATGCAAATGCATTTCCTTTGGTAATAAGGATCAGAAAAATTATTTAAATGGATTCACAGAAATGGGGGAAAGCGGAGAGGGAAATCGGCAGGGAGATTGTTCCATGTCATTTCCCATAGCAGTAAAACCCGGTTATGTTCCTTCAGCCTGCCCAAAGGTGTTCTATCTAGATAATACATGCTTATAAACAGCCACTGGAGTCAATTACCTGGCATCGGGCTTGTTCCCCGGCAGCCAGGATTTCTGCAGGCCAATTATCTTGTGAACTCAATTTGCCAGATTAATACAGTATTCAAAAAAAGATCCACCTAGTAGGTTTTTGTTCCTTAGGTGGCTCATCTTTCTCATGATATCTTACAGCTTGGGACATCCCGCTTCTACTCTGCATTCCCAAGTCATTCTTCTCTTCTCTGTCTCAGCCTCCCAGGATTCTCAGCAAGGCTTTGAAGGCCAGGAATTCTGGGAAATGAAGCCCACCCCTCTGGCAGGATCACTCTGTAAATACCACTCTATAAAGCCTTAGGAAGGCCACACCTAGAATACTGCATCCAGTTTTGGTCACCACACTATAAAAAAAGACGTTGAGTGCAGAGAAGAGCAATCAAGATGATTAGGGGAGTGGAGGATAAAACGTACGATGAATGCTTGCAGGAACTGGTTATGTCTACTCTAGTGAAGAGAAGGACCAGGGGAGAGAGGAGAGCAGTCTTCCAATATTTGAGGGACTGCCACAGAGAGGAGGAAGGGGTCAAGCTATTTTCTAAAGCACCCGAAGGAATAATGGATGGCAACTGAACAAGGAGAGATTTAACCTGAAAATAAGCAGACATTTTCTGACAGAACAATCCACCAATGGAACAGAAGTTGCCCTCAGAAGTTGTGGGAGCGCCATCACTGGAGGCTTTCAAGAAGAGACTGGGCTCCCATCTGTCCGAGATGGTGTAGGGTCTCCTGCTTGGGCGGGGGGATAGACTAGATGACCTACAAGATCCCTTCCAACTCTGATTATCTGTTATCTGTTAGGATCAAACACCCATTCCTGCCAGGCCAGAACCGAGGAGCGTGTTTTTGAAAGGAACATTATAAAATGCACCCCCACTTCTTGACCTTTCACTGGTTAACTGAAAGACGGCAAGTGATTTATCTCTCGCCCAGGAAAAAGAAAATTGAGAGAAAAGAGGAAAGAGCAGGAAGGGAGAAAAGTTATCAGTAAACAACAGCCAGGAAAAAAATAATTAGAGGCACGAATGCAATCAGATGTTATCTTGATGAGTTAGATTGAAGTCACTGTGACTCAGTGTTACCACTGGGGACTACATCTTGTTATCAGTGCCACACAGACGTAGATATTGAAGGGAGATGTGTGAAGGCACCGTGGCCGGGTTTTAAAAGTCAGAAATAGATCTCACTTGCACCAAAGGCTGGAAAAAATGTTCATTTCCCAAAGTCATGCCTGCTGGGCTTTTTAAAAAAAAAACAACCACCAACACCAACATCATCAAAGTTCATCACGTCAAGACAAATGATTCAAAAGCAGCTGCTCTCCAAAGTAGATGCACTCCAAAATAGGAGGATTTTCACTCCCACAATTCCCCAGCCAGCGTTCCCTAGAGCAGAGCATTCTGGGAAGGCTATCTCTGAGAATCTGTCTGACAGGTGAAGACGCCGTGAGACTCTTGCTGAAGGGTGGGGGAAAAAAATCAAGGAGAAAAATCCAAAAAGATCTTTCTCTCGGTCCCCAAAGAATAGAAATAGAAATAGAACAACAGCATTGGAAGGGACCTTAGAGGTCTTCTAGTCTAACCCCCTCCCTCCTGCTTAGGCAGGAAATCCTACACCGCTTTCAGACAAATGACTATCCATAACATATTTTTTAAAATATCCAGTGTTGGAGCATTCACAACTTCTGGAGGCAAATTGTTCCACTGATGAATTGTTCTAACTGTCAGGAAATAAAAAAACACGCTTTCTTTTTTTTAAAAAAAAAACCCCAATAAAATAAAATAGGACACATCCTATTGCAGGTTAATAGTTAGGCTGTGTCCCTGCCGCGTGAGATGCTTTTGAGAGGAATGCAAGACGGAAGGTAGCTCGGTTTTGCTCCTAATGGCAGGACTGAGCGAATTTCGTCAGGACTGAGTGAATTTCGCAAGGGTTGGAAAACCCAGAAAAAAAAAGAACAAACAGAAAGTGCTCTCCTCCTATTGTTTGAAGCTCTCTGGATTATCCACTCAAACTATATCGCTCCAGCCTTGCAGGCTCAAACAGCCCTTTTGCTTAACCCCAAATTAATGCACCCCAGAGAAAGGGGCAGCTGGAACAGCACCGGCCATTTAGCAACAGGTAGAGGTGGTAATCCTCCAAAATGCCTACACTGGATGCTTAAGAGATCCCAGAAAGCTCATGCAAATGCTCAGTGGAAGCATCAGCTCACCTGCCCACACGTATCACACCTCTGCCTCTGGTTTAGAAGACAAAAGGATGGGGCCTGCCTACCACACATTACGGGGGAGAAGGGACACCTTCTCCTAACCTCGATTTCAAAACCCACAATGGGCAAATAACAAGATAATTTCTTCGCAAGCATGAGAAGTTTTTCAGAAAACCAGCGTGTGTTTCTGGGGGAGGAAAATCTCAGCACACTTTCTATAAGCGACTAATATTTTAAACATCGTATTTGCCCCCCACCCACCCATCCACCCCAAGGAAATCCTGCTGAACCTGATGAAGTTTATTCCTGGAAGGAGTCATGCAGATTTCCCCTGCTCCACGTCTCAAGGGTTGGAACATTTCCTGCAATGATCTTGGAAACTTTGCTTACTCAGGCATTCCTGGGTGCCTCATTGGTGTGTGTTTTTCCCTTCTCCTGGCCAATTATTTAATTAAAGTGCACTTCATTAATCCCCTCCCCAAGCCATCACGCCAAACCAGCTAGTTCTAACCAAAGTGGAAATCTGTTAGAGGCGCTGAGACTCAATTGGAGTTTTTGCTTTCCTTCTGCACCTATTCTTTGCTTAATGGGCCGAGCTGGTAAGAAATTCAACAATATTAGACCTCGTTTAAAAGCCGAAGCCCTGGAAAGCCAGTGGCTTTATTCACAGGATGGCTTCCATACTTTCAACACCCTGAAATGGTACGGCCAGGAGGTACAAGACATCGTAAAAACTGAGTGAGAAATACAATCCCTGAACTCCTTTAATATGAAGAGTGTAAATAAGTCCCTGAAGAATGCCAGCCTTCAAATGGTTGGAGGGCATTCAGTTTTTTTTTTTTTTTTCAAAAGAGAGGACAACATTCATTTCTGTCCCCCTTCTTTCCAGAGAACTGAAGGAATGGAGAAGTTGTGGCTATTTCATTCCTAACAGGATTAAACCATTTATAGGCGGTTGCAGCTGTTCCTTTATGGCACCCAATTGATATTCATGTGTGGTTAGCATTTGTCTGCTAACTTGTGCAACACAGAGAATAGCAAAAGACAGACAATGATCACACGGCTGTTACATATTCAAGAGACCCAAATCCTGCAGCTTAAGATTTCAAAAGCAAGCCAAAGGTGTGTGTGGGAGGAAAGGCTACATGCCACCCTACATCTTGGGCAAACAACGTCCCTTAAATGCGGGCAATATTTATAATAAAAATAAGTCCGGGCATCATTCAAACACCACTGCAAGGGGGAAAAAAAACCAGGGAAAAGCAACTTAAAAAGCCACCCTGATTTTTTTTTTAAACAAAGAGCAGGCAAATAAAGTTGGAAGCGGGGAAAGAATTAAAAGAAAGCTAGCTTCATTATCATTTTTCTCCATGCAAAAAGGATAGAAGAACTGAAATTCTTTGGATGGTTGTTTCTGTTTCCTACCAAACAGACCATTCAAAAAAGCCCTGCCAAGCCTGGCTCTCTCTCTTCCCCACAGCAAATATAAATATATATATGTATATATCTTTCTATATTTCTAACAAAACCTTGCGTTCTTTTATCTTCTCCCCAACCAGCTTTCACACACACACATATATATATATTTACAACCAACACTTTCTCGAGAAAACAAGCTGGCTTCTAAAAAACAGCCACAGTGACCTCATCTGGTGGGGACAGGATAGTGGTAGGACTGCAGCCCTTGTGGAAAAAAAAATCACGGCTTAGCAATGGGCACCCATCACAGATCCAAAGAGCTTTCTCTCTCTCTCTCTCTCTCTTTTTTTTGAGCCTTTCCTCTTTGGGGGGGGGGGGGGGGGGGGAGAGAGACAAAAGGAAAGCAGTCCAAACCGGAACAGAGGTAGATGCCTTATGATGCATGTTCAAGATTGCACGTCAAAAAGCCTTGCTATGTTATTACAATTCCTTGTATTTTCCCCTCTTTCAGTACACTGATGCCATGGCCAGGGGGACTTTTGTGTGTGTGTCTGTGTCTGTGTGTCTGTGTTAATAATCCTGGATAGGCAAAAAATATAAAGCACCCTAATAAATCCCCTTTTAACTGGAGTTAAAAGAAATCACAGTTGGCCTCTTTAATACGGCCTGTATCTTGGAAGCAGGTAAGATCTTTGCTGGGTTAGGAATGGGCACAATTATTGAATGACACATTTAAAGGGTGGGCGTTAAAAGCAGTCACATAAGGCTAATATCAAAAGGCATCTGTACTTTACCTGCAGTTGTAAGTCCTGATTTCTTTGTTATCCCGTTTACATTTGACAGCTACAAAGATCATGGTGACAAACAGAATGGCAGCAATTGAACCCAGGGCAATAATAAAAATCAGGGACAAATTTACAGATCCTATGGATTCCTGGGCATCCAGAGCCGGGGAAAGGTATATCAAAATCAAAGCCGATGCTGAAAGCGATGTTTTCCCATGGTCGTGAGCCACAACGATCAGCTCATACGTAGTCTTGGAGTTTTCCCCGAAGGCTCTGGTGGTCCTTATCTCGCCGTTGACCTGGTCGATCTCAAAAAACCCTCGATCCCCTTCAGCCATCTCGTAGGAAAGCCTCCCGTTCTCCCCTTCATCATAGTCATCGGCCTTGACCACCGTCACCAAGTAGCCAATGCCAGCGTTCCTGGGGATGTAGACCTCCGCGGTCCCGTTGACTAAAGGAGGGGCCGTGATCACCGGAGTATTGTCGTTGACGTCCAGGACAATGACTCGGATGGTGGTGTTGCTTTGCAAGGAAGGGTTGCCTCCGTCTTTGGCCAAGACCTTGAACTCAAAGGACTTGGTCTGCTCATGGTTGAATGACCTCAAGGCGTAGATGTCTCCAGAGTTGGGGTTGATGGAGACATAGGTGAAAACGGGCATGTCCCTTACTTGGGACGGGACAATCTGGTAGGAGACGCTGCCATTTAAGCCAAGGTCGGGATCCCTGGCAGAAACAGAAAGGAGGTAGGCCCCAGGGGTATTGTTCTCCTGCACAATGACCTGGTAGTAAGGCTTGGAGAAGTGCGGGTGGTTATCATTCTCATCTGTGATCTTGACGGTAAAGGACTTTGTGGCCTGCAGAGAAGGGACCCCATTGTCCTTCGCTTGGATGGTTAGATTGTACTGGTCCCTCTGCTCCCTGTCTAAGCGTCCATCCACTAGGATCGTGGAGAAACTCTCGTATTCCTGCAAGCGGAAGGGCACGTTGCCCAACAGTTTGCACTGCACTCGGCCATTGGCCCCCGCATCCCTGTCGGAAACCCTCACCAAGGCAATGACGTAGCCCGGAGGCGCATTCTCGCTGACTTCCACCAGCTCGCTGTTGACAGAGAGCAAGTTAATGAGGGGCGGGTTGTCGTTGGCATCCTGTACAGTGACGGTCACTTTGCAATGGGCTGGGATAGAGTTGGGACCCAGATCTTTAGCTTGTACGTCCAGTTCGTAGGCGTGACCTTCCTCGTAGTCAATCGCCCCTGTGACCGTGATCAGACCGGTCTGAGGATTGATCTGGAAGAGGTCCCTGGCCTTCTCAGAGACATAGCTGTGAATGGAATACAAGACCTGCCCATTGGTACCCTCATCAGGGTCCGTGGCATTGAGGCGGATCACCGGTGTGCCCACAGGAACATTCTCCAGCACGCTCACGGTGTAGGAGGGTTCTTCAAAGAGAGGGTTGTTGTCATTGGAGTCGATGACCCTGATGGTTAACTCCACTGTCCCAAAGTTGGGTGGGTCCCCGCCATCCAAAGCTGTGATCATGTAACTGTAATGAGACTGGGTCTCGCGATCCAGGCTTTTCTCCACCACCAGCTCAGCAAAGCGGGAACCATCCCCTCGCGTCTTGGTTTCCAAGCCAAAGAGATCGTTGGGAGTGATCTCGTAGCTCTGCACTCCAAAGCTGCCCGAATCTGGATCGTAAGCGCTTTCCAGGGGCACCCTAGTCCCCGGGCTGGCTGTCTCTGAGATCTCCAGCGCAATTTGATCCGTGGGAAAGCTAGGAGCATTATCGTTGAGGTCTTTGATCTCCAGCTTGATCACACAGATCTCCATGGAGCTCGACATGACCTCTAAAGAGATCACACACTTGGGGCTTTGTCTGCAAAGTAAGTCCCGGTCAATCTTCTGCTTGGTCACTAGTAAGCCTGATCCAGGGTTGATGTCCACCAGGTGGGGTGCCGAGTTGGACACCACGCGGAAAGCAGCGGGTTGCCGAGGATCCAAGACAAAGCCGGCGTCTCGGGCATCTTTGGCAATATTCGCAATCACCGTGCCAGCTCTTTGCTCCTCTTCCACCGAATACTTCAAGTTGATCAGAGCTCCTACGCCAGTCCACCAAAGAGCGAGCAGAAATTGGAGCAGGGGGCAGAGAATATCCATAGTTCACCCCCCTCCGTGCCTCCCTCACCACCTCCTCCTCCTCCTCCTCTTCCTCCTCCTCCCCGTCTCTCTCTCCGGGTGCCTGTTGATTTCGTGTCTGGGAAAAGGAGGGGAAGTCAGGGGAGTTGTGGAAGGGACAGAGGGGAAGGAAGGAAAGAAAAGAAGCTGTTCTACGGGTGGGGGGGAGGGGAGATTTACTTTACAAGCTCATGTCTTGACTCTCTCTCTCTCTCTCTCTCTCTCTCCCTCTCCCAGGTGCACTGCCTTCTTCAGCAACCTCCCTAGCCCTAAGGAAAACCGGGTATAAATGCTTCTCTTCCACTCAACCAGATCGGGAGGAGTTACAAAAAATTGGCAAATCTATTTCCAATTTAAAACACACACACACAGAGAGAGAGAGGGAGAGAGAGAGAGAGAGAGAGAGAGAGAGAGAGAGAGAGAATCTTGAATTGGGGAGGAGGGACCTCAGCCGACTTACACCTGGCATGCGCAAATCTTTACACCCCCCCTCCTTTACCCCTTCCTCTGTCTCCACCACCACTCCTCCCCCCCTCCCCAATTTGCACAGACCCTTAGTGAAGAAAGTGGAGTACCTGGGAAGAGGAGGAGGAGGAGGAGGAAAAGGAAGGAACGGGGGGGGGGGACCCAACCTCCGGGCAGACGAAGGTAGCCAACGAATTCCGCGGCTGGAAAAGGAGAGGGGACCACGGCGGTGGAAAGATGGGGATGGGGAGGAAAGCCGCTGGGGGGGGAAAACTACGGCGGAGGGGCACCCGAAGAACTGGGGAGGGAGGCAGAGGGAGAGTCACGCAGGAGAAGTCACGGAGAGGTTGGGAAAGCGGGGGACAGGCAGGGGTGGAAGGAAGGAAGGAAGGAAGGAAGGAAGGAAGGAAGGAAGGAAGGAGGCCGGCGAGATGAAAACCTTTCCGTAGAGTTTTTTTCTCTTTTTTTTAGCCCTGGAAGTCCATCCGAAGGAAGGCGAGGCGGCGAGCGCTGTTCCAAATCGCCCGGTCCGTTGGAGAAGCCATCGGGAAGGCGGGGGGAGACGAGGAGACACGCCGGACCACCTCCCTCCTCCTCCTCCCTCCTTCTCTCTTTTTCTCTCCCTTTCTCTCTCTCTCCAACTGCCGGCGGCGGAGGAGCGGAATCCCCTCCCGGCTTGCAAGGAGAGCCGAAGGCGGCGGTCCGCGGAAGCTCCTCGGCTGGACAGCGGCGAGGCAGGTGGGAAGCCCGGGGGGTGGCGGCGAAAGCACTTCAGGAGCGCGGCTAGTGCTGCAGAGCTTCTCCCGGTCGCCTCCCGGCCGCTCCTCTCGGGGTCCCCATGATTATCTGGCGTTGAGCATCCTCCGGCTCGCCCAGCGCCGCAGCAAACAAAGCAGCGGCGAGGAAAGTTTGCTGGCGCAGCTCATCGTCCGTCCCCCGTCCCCGTCCTCCCCACGGGCGGCCGACGGGGCGCAAGGTGGGAGCCGCCAAAAAAAAAAAAAAATTAAAAAAAGCAACTCGGAGCAAAAGCAGCAGCAAAGCAAAAAAAAAAGAAAGAAATGCCCGCCGCAAGGAAGATCGCGGGATCTGGTGCCTCCCGCGTCGGTGGACTTTTCTTCCTTTTCTTCTTCTTTCCACCTTCTTTGGGTCAATGCGAAGTTCTTCTTCGTGCTCTCCGGCTGCCGAGATCCGAGGCGAGCCGGCGGGAGAAGGCTTTTTGCAGAGGCCAGCCCAAGCACCGCAGTGGCTCGCAAGGTGGCTCGCCCGCCCGCAAGGCTGCGACTCCTAGCCTTTCTTCTTCTTCCTCCTCCTCCTCCTCCTCCTCCTCTTCGTCCCCGTTTGCCTTGGGCAGGCTTTTTAAGCCCTCGTCGCTTTCCAAGCCCGCGGTCCGCCAGCCAGCTTTGCCTTGCCTTGCCTTTGCCTTGCCAGCCAAGCCAGCCAGCCGGGCTCCCTCTCTCTCGCGCGCGCGCTGCTGCTGCTGCTGCTTCTGCTGCTGCAAAACTGCTGGCCGCACGCGAGCTGGAGCGGTCTCACAGCCGCGGCTCCGGACCCGAGCTACGGCAGGGCTTCGGCCAATCGGAGCGCGGGCTGCGGGGGCGGGGGGGGGAGAGCGCGTTCCGAGCCGACGGGGGGGGGGGGGGGGGGAGGGGGGGGAGCGGAGCCGGCGAGGGGCGGGGCCCGGCGGGTGAAGCGGACAAGCGCGGTACCCGAAGGAATGAAAAGCAGTAGCGTGTGTGTGTGTGTGTGTGTATTTGTGGCTGAACCGAGGATGCAAGAAGGGGGGAAAAACACCAAAAAAAAAAAAAAAGGATTTGTGTGTGTGTGTGCTGGTGTGAAGTGCATGCGTTTGTGGCTGAGCCGAGGATGCAAAGGGGGAAAACACCAAAAAAAAAAAAAAAGGATTTGTGTTGGTGTGTTGGTGTGTGCGCGTGCGTTTGTGGCTGAGCCGAGGGTGCAAAGAGTGGGAAAACACACACACACACAAAGGATTTGGGTGTGTTGGTGTGTGTGCGTGCGTTTGTGGCTGAGCCGAGGATGCAAAGAGTGGGAAAACACTACATTGTTCCGGGAGCAATTTTTTTTATTATTTTTATTCCTTTTCTATCCCTTTCTCTCCCTTTTTTTTTTTTTTTCATTTTGGACTGAAATTGCGTTGGAGAAGCACGCGACACCCGCAAAGCTACAATTGGACCCCCTCGTGTGTCCCTCCGCAAGAGGACTCTCTCCCACCGCCGTCACGCTCGGCGTTACTCCTGGGAGCATTGGCGGGGGGGGGGAGAGTCCTTACTCTCCTTTGTTACCCAACGTCCCTTTTGCGCTTTGGCTTGGCTAACGCGCGCAGCGGGGCGGCTTTAATGGGCATCTCTGGTCCTGACGCCTTTCTGAAAGCTTTGTCGGTGGGGGGGGGGGGGGGGGAGGGGGTTTTTTCCCCCCACGGGGGGGGGGTGGGCAACTTGGCTGGGGGGGGGGAGTGGGGGAGGGGAAGGAGGACCCTCCAGGCACTTTTCCTCCTCTCCCTTAACCCTCCAAGATGCAACTTCTCCAGGAATCTGCTTCTTATAAACCTTTTGTTCACCCGGAGAAGGGAAGGAGAGGAAGCTTTTAAAAAGGGGTGGGGGGGTGGGATTCTGGATTTTGCACACACGCACACACACAAAATGTGTATTGCACTGCAGCGCTATGCCTTTTTTTTTCCTCTAGACGGTCTGGTTTCATACAGGGCACAGAGTAATAAGTCCAGTAAATGAACTCCTAATGGGAGGCTTTGTGCAGGCTTTCAACTGCTCTCAACGGAACTGAGTTCTGGCCATGTGTTGCTAAGCCAAGCCTAAATCACATTGTGGGGTTAGTGCAAGGTTTGAAATTGGTTACATATTTATAATACAGGGTTTTTTTTTGGGGGGGGGGCATGGAAGGCTTAAGCCACAAGATGGCATTTATCCATAATTGAGTTTGCTTGCTTTGGTTTTAGCAGCTATTGGGATCCTAATTCATAGCCTTAAGGGATACCGGATGAATGCAGGCAGCCCTGTTGCATTTTACCCAATGAACTGTGAGTAAACAAGCCAAGATTTGGGCAAGGTGTGACTCCGCTCATCAGAATATCCTGGTCCGTCATAGTTTATTTGCAGGGATGTGCTTTTAACCCTGCAGCACATAATATATATTGTTTTCATTTCATGTCATTTGAAGCCACCTACTTAAGACATTCCCAACTGCTATGAATGAAGCATGGACAAGATAGCTGAGCTGACTGCAGCCAGAGAAATGTCTTGTAATTCTATTAAAATATAGCCTATTAATTCTGTTGCAATGCAAGGGCCACTTACTTCTTTTCCAGGAAGAAATTTATTTTAAAGCCAAACATTTTTTTTCTTCTTTAATCTGCAAAAAAAAAAAAAAGCCAAAACTCATACAAACTCAGTCAATAGAGGAGAATGCAAGGGGTTAGTCAATACCCCCCGCACACAGAGAGAGAGAATTTCCCCACACATTTTGGCTTGAGAAAGTGTTCCTGTAACCTATATATCTTCCATCTTTTTATAGGAACCAAAGGGTTTCAACCAATTGGGGGATTAAGTGATTTTGTTCCTTTCACTGCGTTGAGCAACACACTCCTGGCGTTAAGTTTGCATATTTTTCTGTGGCCTCTGCTCGTTCCAAACATGGAATGTGCCTCGAATGAGGTCAGTTCCCCTTAATGAATTTAGGGCTATAAAAAGAAAGGGGAAGACACCTCCTCCTCTCCCTCCTTTTCGGATGTGCGCTTGTTAATTACAGTCACTGGGATGAATAGAATGCCAAAGTTGTAAAGAGACCTTCCAGGGGTTCCTTTCAAACACGCTGAATCCTTAAATCAATGAAACTTTAAAAAGTATGCTTATAAATCAATCTGACCGCCTTGAGAATTGATTTCCCTGAATAAGAGCCTTGTCCAAGGGCCTATTCTGTTTGATTTTAGTTTAGTTAGGCTCAGTATATTGCTTTCTGTGGTTTGTATAATGCAGTTCTGACCCCTTTCGGGAAGAGCAAGCCAAAGAAAGAATGAAAGCCTTTAAAAAGGGGGGGGAGGGACGAGAAGGAGGGGTAATTCTTCTCATCTGCCCCAACAGCAGGTATTTTTTCCACGGCAGCCAGAAAACAACCTCACTATATTGCTGGTCTGGGATTTGGGAAGTTGGTTTATCTGTCTGTCCCCACATAGGTTTCAGCTTTTATCTGGCACGTGGCAAAGCGTGACTCATCTAAAATTGAGAGAGCAAGGCGATGAATCGCGTTTAAAAGGGAGACCAGCCACCGTGTGTTTCCTTTAGTTGATACAGTGCCGGGGCCTAGTAAACTAAGAATTAGATCTTGAGACAATATGGATGGAGCCGTTACATTGATCGCGCTGGGCATCCCGAGACCAGTCAAAAGTTAAAAATAGATCCATAACTTTTTATAGGCCGCAGCATCCAAAGCCTCAAGAAAGAAGCATCACCAGAAAAAGCGGCTGTCTTACACGAAAAACAATGTGC